TAAATAAAGCTGAACAGCAACAGAGGCTTTCAGTTTCAAACCTACTTGCAAATTGCATGAACTGTTTAATACAACCTTAGACAATGTAATTTAAGCCTATACATTATATCTTTATGGAGGTGCCAAATCTTGAATGTCATTAAATGGATAAACTATATTGAAATAAATCTGCAAAGTACTAGTCACATCAGTCAACGCCGTGAGGCAGTGTCATCAATGATTTCAGTAGACCATCGTGATAGAATCATCATCTGTGACAGACACTTTGAACATGTTTTAAAAAGAAATTGATCATGTGTTTCCTATGTTGATTTTCTTTTTAAGATTAAAATTAAATTACTTTGTCATGTGATAAAACAACTTGTAAACTTGTAATTATTCCCCCCCCCCCCCCCCCCCCCCCCCCCAAAATTTCAAAATTATTACATTTTTTTGCCAGATCAAACAAATGAAATTTTCGTTTTAACACACATTTTATATAAAGCAGTTTGGAACAGGATGTAAATTTAGCTGAACTGCCGGAGGCTTTCAAACCTACTTGCAAGTAAAGTTGCATGAACTGTTTAATTCACCTTAAGACATTTTTACTGAAACCTATACATTATATCATTATACATATAGAGGTGTTAAATCATGAATGTCATTAAATGAATGAACTATATTGAAATAAATCTGCAATGTCACATCAGTCAATGCCGTGAGGCAGTGTCATCAATGATTTCAGTAGACCATCGTGATAGAATCGTCATCTGTGACAGACACGGTGAACATGTTTTAAAAAGAAATTGATCATGTGTTCCCTTTGATTTTTTTTGAAGATTAATATTAAATTATTCTGTCTAGGGATAAATCAACATGTAATTGCCCCGCCCCCTCCATGTCAAAATCATTACATTTTTTGCCAGATCAAACATGTCTAAAGTTTTGTTTTCAACACACATTTTATATAAAGCAGCTTGGAACACTATGTAAATTTAGCTGAACAGCCGGAGGCTTTCAAACCTACTTGCAAGTAAAGTTGCATGAACTGTTTAATTCAACCTTAAACATTTTAACTGAAACCTATACATTAGATTATATCTTTATGGAGGTGTCAACTCATTCATGTCTTTAAATGGATAAACTATATTAAAATACATCCGCAATGTCACATCAGTCAATGCCATGAGGCAGTGTCATCAATGATTTCAGTAGACCATCCTGATAGAATCGTCATCTGTGACACACACGGTGGACATGTTTTAAAAAGAAATTGATCAGGTGTTCCCTTTGATTTTTTTTTTTGAAGATTAATATTAAATTATTCTGTCTAGGGATAAATCAACATGTAATTGCCCCGCCCCCTCCATGTCAAAATCATTACATTTTTTTGCTAGATCAAACATGTATAAAGTTTTGTTTTCAACACACATTTTATATAAAGCAGTTTGGAACAGGATGTAAATTTAGCTGAACTGCCGGAGGCTTTCAAACCTACTTGCAAGTGGTATGAACTAGTGTCATCAATGATTTCAGTAGACCATCTTGAACATCATCTGTGACACACACGGTGAACATGTTTTAAAAAGAAATTGATCATGTATTCCCTTTGATTTTTTTTTTGAAGATTAATATTAAATTATTCTGTCTAGTGATAAATCNCCCCCCCCCCCCCCCCCCCCCAGGTCAAAATCATTACATTTTTTTGCCAGATCAAACATGAATAGTTTTCTTTTCAACACACATTTTATATAAAGCAGCTTGGAATACGATGTAAACATAGCTGAACAGCTGGAGGCTTTCAAACCTACTTGCAAGTTGCATGAACTGTTTAATTCAACCTTGGACATTTTAACTGAAACCTATACATTAGATTATATCTTTATGGAGGTGTCAACTCATTCATGTCATTCAATGAATGAACTATATTAAAATACATCTGCAATGTCACATCAGTCAATGCCGTGAGGCAGTGTCATCAATGATTTCAGTAGACCATCGTGATAGAATC